CTGACGCATGGTATGATGACATAAGTGCTTACATATTACATATTACATATTACCACTATCATCATTTCCTCGTTTTGATTTGGTTGAGTAGATGGCATCAGAAATAGATAATATGGAATTCCCTATTGTCTACTTCTGATGGCATGTTAACTTTCCCCTCGCTCTGCTCCCCCACAATCCGGCTAAAAGCGAATATTTCATATTCTTTTTCACCTGTTTTAATCTTTTCTCAACCGTTCTGATGTCTGTGCAGTACCTTACCTGTGACCTTACCTTTGTCTACACATGTCGGCATACGGTACTAGTCTAGAAAAATCTACGTTACGTAAATTCATGCACTTGTTTTGAGCAAATTTCGTTTTCGCGAATATCAAGGATGCAGACCCAAGTTTGTTTGGCAGTTACTGCTTTACAGCTATAACAACACAAACTCGCAGTAATTTTTATGTTGTACAGTAATATGTGATGACAGCTGACAGATGAGACTAATTGTGTTTACATTTATTAGTTGTTTACGTGTATCCGAGAGACGATCAAGGAACGATTCCGGCCTCTCTCTCTCTCTTGTATTTCCTCGCATTAATTTTTAGCCATCCTCTCTCGATTTTATTTCCCACCTCCTCCCGTTTCACTTCCTCTACCCAGTCGCTTTCTGCCTTTCGCGTTCCGTATTTCGTCGTACCAGTTTATTCTTTTCTAACCGGTTTTTTCTCTTCGCCCTTTCTCTCTCACGCACACGCTCTTTTTTTTTAGGTCAATCCCTCATGTAAATACACCGTTGTGAAGAAACAGCGTGCAACCTTTGCAAGCTGTAGTACGGAAGCCCCCTAGTGCCGTCGCGGTCACGTTTTTCGCAGCCGGCGCGGTCACGTTTTTCGTCACACGCACGCAAACACGCGCGCACACACACACAAATCTCGGTAGTAGAACTAGGGAAATCTTAACCCACACCATGGCAGCGACAATTACTTTCGTCTTCTCTGAGCGTTCACCTCTCCCCTCACCCTGCCGCACTCCCCTCGTATTTCCCAGCACTGCTCTCTTGCCTTTTCAAACGCACACCAATCACCAACGACATTGCACGGAGAAAAAGCTCCGTCCATCGTCCATTCGTCCCGGAAAAACCCAAAAGAAACGCGTGCGCGGGAAAAGGGAACAACCTTTGAAGCTAAAGCTTTGAGATTGTCATTGCCAGCCAAAATAAATCCGATCCCTAATCAGCACTGGCGATTACACCACAACCTCCTCTCGTTTTTTTTTATATATTCACAAGTCCTCGGCGAAATTACCCCCCTCCCTTTCCTCCTCCCCCTCCCCTTCTCGTTTGGGATCAGAACTCGCAACCTTAATTATCACTGAGGATAACAACCACCCCCATGCACAGCCTTCTCTTTTTCCATATTCACCATGATTCACCAGCACCGCAATAACCCCCACCCCCACCACCACCACTCCCCTTCTCCCTCTCCATTTCCATCTCCCTCTCTCTCGCACTCCCTCTCTCTCCCTTCCTCTCCCTCCCTCTTCCTCTCCCTCTCCATCTCCCCCCTTTCTCTCTCTCTTTTCCTCTCTCGGCCGCCCTCTCCCTCGCTCTTTTTCTTCCGCTCTCTCTCCATCTTTATCTCTCCCTCTCTCTCTCTCCCTCCCTCTCCCTCGCTCTTTCTCTCCCTCTCCATCTCCCTGCCTCTCTTTCCCCCTCTCCATCCGGGAACCGATCTACAGTCCTACGGGTCGTTGGTCCTACGGGTCGTTGGTCCATCGGTTATTAGTAAGAGGTGTAGAGTGAATGCCCATATTTTTTTTAAATCACATTTTTTATTTTTTATTTTTATTTTATTTTTTTTATTTAAATTTTAAATTTTAAAGAGGGATGTTGGAAGTGTATTGGTTGGGAGAGTTTTCTGCCTATAACTGCGCGCGCCAATGTACCCCCCCTCCCCCTTCCCACATGCCCATCGATACAAATCTCACTGCCGCCGTTGTGAGCGCGAACAAAAGGGGATAACAAACCACCGATAACAAACCACCTATGCACGCTCGCTTGTGTGCTGAGGAGATTAGGTTGAGGTCTATGCCCTTGCCTCTCTCTCTGGTCAACACCTTTTCCCCCACCACTCACACACCCGGTCACTTGTTCCTCTCGCGATCTCGCTCGCCGCCTCAATCCGGTTTTTTTCCGGGATCGCGAACAAACGCGCGTGCGGTGCATAATACTGTATACGCCATATTTTTCGCGTGCAGATATGTTCGCGAAATCAGACTTGACCGACAATTTCGCGAGTGGTTAATTTCGCGGTCGGTGAATTATGAATTATTCGGTATTATTCGGTATGAATTATTCGCGTGCTGTTATTTTTGCTGTCCGGGACGCAATCGCGAAATTCGCGAAAATTAAACCACCCCGAAATATAGGCGTATACAGTATACGATGTAACGCACGCGCGTTTGTTCGCGATCCCGGGAAACAAACCGGATTGAGGCGGCGAGCGAGATCGCGAGAGGAACAAGTGACCGGGAGGGGGAGCGGGGGGGGAAAAGGCGTTGACCAGAGAGAGAGGCAAGCGCATAGACCTCAACCTAATCTTCTCAGCACACAAGCGAGCGTGCATAGGTGGTTTGTT